CTCTCCCTGGTGGAGGAAACTGTGGACGGGAGCTCATGGTGACAATTTGGGGGTGACCCACACAGGGCTCTTATGGGAAGAGAGGAGCAATGCTGCCCCAGTGCTTCCCAACCCCAAACGCCTGCACTTCGACTGGGGGGATGTGGAGCCACTGCCCTGTGTGGGTCTCTGGGGTGGCAGAGAAGGGCAGAGCTCTAAGACAGAGGGACCTCCAGCCCCCAGGATCACACACAGCCCCAGCCCCAACCACTTACCCAGGGGATGCTCTGGCAGTAAGAAGGGCTGAGCTGTGTCCCTGGATGCCCTGGAGAGAGCAGGGGGCCTGGGCTGGCCCCCACCTCCATCCCCCAAGCCCCCACCTGCCAGAGAGTCTGGCCTGCAGCACCCATGGCCCCCCCATGCACCCCTGCGGGGCACACGGGGCTGGCTTTGCTCTGACCCTGCAAATGCCAACGGGGGCCATGGCAGAGCCCCTCCACTGGCCAAGCTGGGGGGTTAGAGAGCCTCTCTGCAGGTGAGCGGGTCAGAGCCCCCCTCGCAGCCCCTCCACCTCCCCGCGTCTGCCGAGCCCAGCTTTGATCTCTGCCGCGCCGGGCTCCTGGGAAAACTGACCCCACATTACCACGGAAATGAAACCACTGGCCATGGGGTGGGGGACCGGGGCGATGCTGGCGCAGCCTCCGGCTGGACCCCACAATGGAGGCGGGTGTGGCGGGAGCCATCGCCTGCATCTCGGCGGGAGCATCGCGGCACAATGACCCCCATTTCCTGCACCACCAGAGTCCACCCAGCATGGCCCTCAGCGCCTTGGGGTGCAAGGACCTGGGCCGAGGGAGTGGGGATGCTCAGCACAGCCCGCCGCCAGCCTCCCTCCAGCGCCTGCGGTTTCCTGCATCTTCAGGGTTGGGTTTTAATTACCTGAATTGCAACGCCATGGGGGAGAGGGAGGCTGGGAACCCGCCGGGGATGCACCCGCACCCTGCTCCATGACCAGGCGGCTGGGAGGTTCCCGGGCTGAGGGACACAGTGAGTCCCCTCACACTGAGAAGAGCCTGCCTGGCCTCGTGGGGATGGGGGGCTGCACCCCAGCAGCATCAGGGTCCTTGTCCCCCCCTCAGAGGGGCTCAACCTGACGGTGGTAAGCTGGTGACTGCACCCCAGGGAGGTGGCAGTACCCGGAGAAGTGGGGTGCGGGTTGGGGTTCGGGGGTCTGCAGAGGCCTAGCAGGGAGCTGGGGACACGTGTGGAGGGATGCTCGGGGCTGTGTGTGCCGGAGGATGCAGGGGAGCCGCGGGTGGTACCCACTGCTCCGTGCCAGCCCCGGGGGTAGCAGACACAGTCGCGGGGTGCAGGTGGGGACGCACCCCACACTCCCGGAGCTCTGCCAGCGCAGAGAGCGACGCCATCCCTATCACCCCCCCTCATCTCCATCCTCATCCTCATCCCGGCTCCGAGC